TGTACAGAAAGGATACTAATAGCACCACCAAAATGGCGTCGACGCCGAAAATAAGCGTTATGTTCGTGATCGGGACACTGGGTATCCGTGTAAGAAAAAGATGAGGTTAAGATTCTGGGGAATCGAGTAGTGCCTAAAAATTCTACCAGGTCAGTTTCATTTACATGACTTACACTCTTGGTATTCGTTCTCCTTCGGATATTTGTCAGTACCAAGAAAGAGCATGTGCTCGCAGAAGTGTGCCAGCCCTTGCAACTCCCATGGATCCATTAGGCTTCCTGGATTAGACCACTACAGAACATTCAACTCGTCAAAAGAAGATGATCGAAGTTTGAAAGTGTGCCCCTTTAATCTCATACGAAAAAGCAGTGCATTCCATTGAACATTAAGTAATAGTGGCCTACCGACATTAACATCCATTGCAGCGGCAGATTTATCTGTAGTGGGATCCGATACCAGTAGTACCCGGAGGCCATTTGTGAGTTCAAGTCCCCGATACTGCAAGACAGTGAGTTGTTCACTTTTAGTGAAAACTACGCTTTGGAATGCAGTTGAAGGGGCAATCCACTTGATCGATTGAACAAATTACCTCACCCTTCTACCTTCCTCCCTTTTCCTAGAATGCAAGTGAGAAGGGGATCGGGACCTGGCCTCTCTGTCACAATCAGCGTACTCTGTGTTTTGAAATTAATAGTGAGGGAAGAAAAGGTAGACGATCACACAATGGAGATGGGGCGATGTGCGATTGAGCATCCGAATCCATTTTAGCCTCCTTTCCTCAATCTTTATCCCAGTTCCAGCCCCAGAGCAGATACAAGGTTTGTGTGGCCTTGCCGTAAGTACTCGAACCATGGCCCGATTGGGAAAAATTCTTTCTACAGGAAGAGTACAGCATCGGGATGGGTAGAATGGTGCCAGTACGCCAGCTACTTCGGCGACCACAAATGACATGCTGAAGGACTTCTGCCAGCGATGCTGTACCTTTCCGCACTACAATCTTGCCCATACTCAATTAAGGGAGAGCGGACGCGGAATTTCGTAATCTCATTCTCTCGGACGGACCTGATATCAAAATATGATCCAGAAGGAAGTAGGAGCAACAGACAGGTTCTTCGCGGCCTGCGTGTGGCCAAAAGCTAGGCCGCGCATAGCTGCCCAATCGCCTCATCCCGATAGTTCAAGGCGTGCCACCTCTCTGCTGGGCCAGCGCAGGAAGGCAAAGGAGTGCCAAATCGGGGCACGGATCTACCATCCGGGTTCACAGGTAAAGTGGCTAGGTCACTGCTGTTCCTGAATCTATAAAAATCTGAATGAGAAAAAGACGAACCTCTCTTTGATCTGACGGGCTCTTGATGATATTATCGTACCTACTGGGAGACAATGTCCTCTGCTACCATCTGAAACGAAGATTATAACTCAAAATGGGCCTGTTGCTCAAATTACAACATCTGAACCGTCTCAAGAAACCACTATGAAGCTAGCAGATGCTGTAGAATATAGATGGACGTTATTTCGATGAATTGCGTTGAGCCATAAGTAAAGACCAGCAAATCCTATATTATGACACTTAAAGGCGTGCTCCAGGTTCCAATGGCGAGTTGCAGCTAATATCTTTATGGCATGACGGCGAGAAACCCAGAAGCAGAAAAGGCAAGCTCGAAAGCCCCATATAGATCCCCATCGTGAACTGCGCTCGTACGAAAAGAATCATGGCAGAGAATGGTCGTAGTCGGATGCGTTCTCTTTTTCTGATGTCAGCTCTTTCTCCTCATTACCTCACTCTTACTTCAAAAAGGAGTGACTTAGCAGCGGAATAAGTGCACCATCAGATAGCTAAAAAATGAAAGAGCAGTAAAATGAAAGACGGACGTCGCCGTAGTTAGTGGGCGGAATTGTGGCAGTAAGCTTGCAATCAGAGGTGAAAGTGATGCCTTATGTCTTTTGAAGACAGACTGATGGAAATACGAGCAGCAAACGGTTCGGTGTATCTTTGCGCCACAGAAGTCGTACGTCATCGACCCCTACAGGCAGCACTAGACAAAGAAGGCGCCTGGACATGAAATGAACGCGGGGCCTGCTTCAAAGTCATGCCTGTTAACAAAGCAGGGCAGTCGCTTCTCCTGATTGATGAGACCGTCTTTTACGCTTCAAATCTCGAGCAAGCCAATTTAACACATTTCTACGATATAAAAGGATTTCTCGAGTGCTGGGCGTTACTACAAGCCCCTGGCGATAGGAACAAGTCACAGCAGGTGCAATTCGGTTTGGTGTGGGCACCAATGGTACTGAGCGAAGCTAGATTCTGTAGTCTAAAAGGTCATTTATCCTCATTCGTCGCTTCACAAGAGTTCAGAAGCAACCAGCTCGATGCCTTTCGGTTGCCATGATCTAGCAGAAGCAGCTAACGGGAATCCTCCCTACCTTTGCTCTGCCGGAGCCTAACAGCGTTGTGAGGGAGCTCCCCCCGAAATCCTTCAAAGTGCTTCTCTAAAGGAAGAGCAGGAACGCGAGTGAAAGGATGTTTTCTTAAAAACCCTGACGGCAGTTGGAGAACTATTTTGACAACAACTCTTTGAATTTCGCAATCAGTGGTAAAGGGTTGCCTCGTGTCTTCTGAACTGGAACTGATAGAATTACGAGCAGCAAACGCTCTGGTGGAAACTGGATGACAAAAAATGCAGCAAACTTATCAGTCAGATTTTCCTAGGTAATAGTGTTTTGCTGTACAGTAGGATGAAGAAATCCCGGAAATTCCCCTCTTCACATTGCGAAAGGCTTCCTGATTTCAACGAAGCAGGAAAGGCATTCTGTTGTTGTTGTGCAAAAGTTAGGAAGAATCTACCATGATCTCCTTAACCGCCTCACTCCCATCATTCGAAATGGAGACAGCTAGTAGCAGAACAACCGCGTCAGCGGGACACGTGGAGGAGTTAAGGATGGGCATAGCCGTGGCCAGTGGGCGGGGCAGTGCCCTCGTCGCAAACAGGTCGTGCTCAAGTCACGATTTCTAAGCTGCGAAATATTACACTCTCCATGTTTGCGAGCGGGACTATCGTGTCCGTAGATGGCCAGAACATCGAATGAACGCCGAGCTTGCCGTTGAGGGCACAGTTTAGGGATTCCTTGTGGAAAAACTGGAATTACCGTCATCGGAAGACGTTTGCTATTCTCTGGAAGGGTTGACCTACTCTTCACTACTCCTGGTCACTGGATCTCACCTTCATTACGGCAATTCATTCCTGCACGAAGAGCACTTCAAATATGCCGTGAATCTGTGAGCGCCGACTTTTTTTGTTACGTTTTGCTCTTGACAAGCCAATTCGTCTAGGATCTCGTTCCCAAAGTGTCAGAAAAAGCACCTGGGTTTGCATAGACACGGTTTAGTACTGACGTTATTCCGCTGACTTCGGCATTCGACAAACGGCCATGACATCGACACCATATGGCTCATTCTATGCAAAATGTGCAGAACACTGGGGCAAACTCTTATCAAGTTCCACCTTGCTCATCATCTAGTGGTTTCTGAACATTCATTTCTGGGTCACTTGCTCTACGGCTGCCAAGGCACGTCGTAGGTCGGGATCTCCAGCAAGGAGCGCCTTATTTGTTCGCTGTAGGAAGAGGGGCAGCAACTTCTCAGCGCTGTTCGGCGACGGAGGCGGAGGGGTGGGGGGACTGCACTTTCGCTGCTTCCTATCGACGTGTCGACCCATCTTCTCGAGTTGACAGGTTTTACCATGATGGCTTGACGAGCTTGCTCCAGCTTCACAAGAGTTCACAGGTTTCACCAGAGTGAGACTTGAAACCGCTTGTGACGGACCCTAGCATGCAAGCCAAGGCTCTATACTGCCGATCTCAAAGTGGGCGGAGCCTCTCACTGCACTGGGCTTCACGGAGCAGTGCAAAACCGCAAAAATTTTGCAAAATATCAAAATTCCGCAGATCGGAAGTGGGCGTGTCTGAGAGGATAAACGGTGCATGAATGCGCGGGTACGAGTATCTTTGTTGTGCAAGAGTGGATGTGAAATTAAAAAGTTGAAAAAGTCGTGAAATTTCGAAGTTCGCAACAAACCCTTTAGAAGAATGGGCGGAGTCGGCCATGTGTCGATGTGTTGAAAGTCTATGTCCGCGCCGAAAGTAGGCGTGACCCTCGGGAAGGGATCGCAGTGGTGTCTGGCGTTTTCTGGTTGGCGAACTGCCCGGCCCACAAACAGTGGTGAATTTGATTTGAAAAGTGGTGAATTTGGTTTGAAAAGTGGTGAATTTGATTTGAAAAGTGGTGAATTTGGTTTGAAAAGTGGTGAATTTGGTTTGAAAAGTGGTGAATTTGGTTTGAAAAGTGGTGAATTTGGTTTGAAAAGTGGTGAATTTGGTTTGAAAAGTGGTGAATTTGGTTTGAAAAGTGGTGAATTTGGTTTAGAAAGTGGTGATTGGGAAGTCATTTTACGAAGCAATAAGATACAGCGAAAAAAGAAGCAGTTTAAACTCTCAACGCCACAGAGCACTGCTTCTGACTTCGATTGACCACTGAGCCCTTTACACGACCCTCCCCTACCGAGTGTCGTCGCTGCTACTTGCAAAGCCATAGAACGGACAGAAGACGATTGCGGGACGATTGCAGTTCGAGTGGCATCGCCTATCACGACTGTCATTCCAAAAGAAAGAGGATTACTGCAAGACCGAAAAACGAGTCGAACATAAATTTACCTGTCTTACTTCTCATATGTCGTCATAAAATTATAACTCATTTTCCATTCTCAAGTTTTTGAGGTGACCAATCAGAAGCCATTACAACCAAACCAGTTTAAGATATGCAATTAAAAAAAGCACTGAGATACGATAAAATTTATGATTGACGAGACTCCCAAACGTACTTCAAACCTTATTCTGCAACCAGCCGAGTTTCTTTATAGTTCCAGAGAGCATGAAATGTTGACCTGAGACCAGCAAAACGCCGTCAATGCCATCCCACGAAAAGCTTATGCTCCCCCCGAAGACTTGTGCTTCTATTTGTGGGAGCCGAAAAAGAAAACTAAACCCTCTGGGATGCAGCGTCGTGCTCGCTTGCGACTAACTTGTTTTCAATGGAAGTAGCAAACAGTTTGTAATAAAAAGGATAGGACCGCTATTGCTTGTGGGGTGAGTACCACGACACGTCATACGTTAGGGATCCGTGGAAGTGGAGTCATATTGTTGATTGGTTTCCCTCTCTTTCAAATGCGCAGAAAACCCACTCTTTCAAATGCGCAGAAAACCCACCCCCCTCCCCTCCCTGGATTTTTTTTGCAGAGAAAACGGGGGAATTTTTGTGGAAAACTCCAGAAATTGGTTGGAAATAGGGAAAAATCAGGGAGATGGTTGATAAGGTGAGGAGGTCGTATTTTACAAAGTTCTTCCCCAACGGCGGTGTGCCCTGTTCCTTCCATCGCCAACAGAGCTCCAAAGACATAGATAACATGGACATCAGTGTCGTGGTTAGAGGAACGCTCGTCAGATATGACGGTTAGCTGCGAATACTGAATAAACAGCGAGCGACGGGGTCTGTCAGGCTTGTGTTGGCGACATTAATCCTTATTTAAAAAAAAGTCACAATGCCCAATGGCGGTCCCGTGTCACGGCGACCACGATCCGCCGCAAAAAGTGGCTGCCCCTCTGCCCTGAGGGTAACGCCGCCAAAGCAAAGCGGAGGAGCAGCGGTAACAATGTTCCTGACCGTTGACGGAGACGCAACGTAGCAAAGTCCAGACGAAGCAGTTAAAGGAAAAGAGGGCTGCCAACCGAAATGTACTGCTGCAAAAAATTCCCGGCAAAACTTTGAAAAGAGAGAGAGAGAGAGTTTTCGACCCTAGTGGAAATGTGGGGTGCCGCGATTCCGCGTGAAAGCCCATGTCTCGGTGAGGCAGACGTGAAAAACGACAACGGACGCATCACTGATACACATCGCCTCCCACAATGTCAGACCGCTATCATCAGATGTACTTCTGGACGTATACTTTAACAGCTGACAAAGACTTAAGGTGATATTGTTGGTGTTTGCGAGAATAAGAGAGCAAACGGGGTTTCTGCGAACTGGTGGAGCCGTGAAGAGATCCTTTTCGGAAAAAGTGCCGACAATTGATGAAGAACAGTTGGATTCGGTTTGATGGTCAAGGCAAACGTTGGATCGTATATCACTTTCTCTGAGTCTCCCCCCCCCCCCATGTACTGCTGTTTCAAAGCACAAGGTAGTAGTAAAGCTCAAGATGGGGAAAACTGGGCGGTAGAAAGCTCGAACTTGTGCATTTATGTGCAACTAGTGCACCTATGTACCTCTTCAGCCGAGTAGGTAGAAGTCGAACTCAGAGATTTCGACGCAATTGTTGGCCAGCAAACGGATAACACAAAAGTCTCTGTCCGACATGCGGCATTGTGAGTCCTCAGAACAGTATCGCTCCTCAATCACGATCTCCGTCTTCGAAAAGAGCGCAAAGCGTCAGTGGACGTGGAAAAGCCCGGATGCGAGTATGAATCAGATCGAGTATAAGCTGACGGATACCCGAGGGTTATTCACTTATCGGTGAAAACCTGGTAAGCGTCGGTCTTGATCACCGGTTTCAACTTTCGACGGTCTCGCTCTACCAGGAAAACAGAGCTTCACCAACAACGGACGCCCACATTTAATGTTGAGCTTCTTTTGGATTCATCATCGGAATTGCGACTGGACGTCTTCAAAGTTATTAATGCCTACTACGACAAGCTTGCTGCAAAACTGAAAACTGTTGTGAATCGTTCCAGTACGGAGGACAGCAGGAACCGTTGGCTTTTAAGGACAATACCGATGTAAGGACAACAAATCGTCAAAGGACGAACAAAATGTATACAAAGTTCTACAAAATCTGTGCTCTAATCGTCGAACAGGCTCACTCAAGTGCTGCAGGAGAACCGATACCAGAGATTCTTGGGAAGAAGTCGAGCACCTACTATAGGCATATGAAGACAAGGAAGAGCCCCATAGCCGACAATATTCTTCCCGAACAACCAAAAGCAAGAGGGATCTTTCTGTTCAAAGCTGTGGCAGAACGCTGCAGCAGATGTTGCAAATAGAGTGCGACTCCCCCAGCTTGGGAGAAAGTGAAAACAATGCTGCTGATGAAGAAAGGAGACTCAAAAACCCAAGCAACTACACCCCAATCACTTTGTCTCATATATTAAGGCCTTAGTCCGAATAACGCCTCAAACGTTTTGTCAAAGAGTTAGACATAGTTACTGGCACAGAACAAACACCATGTCGATGTGGATACCCCACACTTCACCACTTAAACACTGCAAGGCAGCTTGCAGAAGTGTAATGAGTTCCAAATACCTTTGTGTATGACTCTGTCGACTACAATAAAGCATTCGATCTGATAGAAGCAAACGCGATACTGAAGGCAATATGTAGACAATGACGTCAATTCCAACTATACAGATCTACTGAAGGAACTAAACAAAAGCTGCGCTACGAAACACAAGCTCCTCAGGGAACCTTGTCGTATTGAAGTCGGCAAGGGTGTTCAACGAGGCGATAAGATTACACGCAAATTATTCCTGGAATGCTCGTGCGTTTGGGGCCCTTTTCAGTGATCTCGTATGAAGTGGCGGCATTGATATAGATGGTGAACGTTTAGTACATTTGCTTTTTGCTGATGACTGTGTCCTTCTTAAACACAATGCCCTCGAACTCCGGAGTAAGCTGAAGGACGTACAAGACAAGTCTGAGGAGATCGGTTTTGAGATGATCTTGAGATGAACGTGTTCCAAGACCAAACAGGTGCGCG